TGTACAGAGGCCAAATGCCAAAACAGTTATCCTTGTTCCAATATTTCTGGTCCTGACTATACTTTTGGCCCCGATGCCTAGAAAAAAAGAACCATTACTGTCCTGCAGCTTCATATGAGCTTCATATAAACAGTCATTTTTGTTTATATTAGAATTGACAATATCTTAAGTTATTTTGTTCTACACATTGTGTAAAAATAAGCAACATATGCTGATTTGGCACACTTGGACAAGGCCAAGAAACTTCACCGATATATGGGGAGATCATGAGCTCTTTGCTTTCCAAAGTCTTTCTAAGGCCATCAGTGCATTAAGGATAAAGTAAGTTTCTGAACAGACTTTTTTCTTTTAACATTTCAAAAACAGCCATCCCATATCTGTGAAAACCAAAGAATTGCTGCTTCAGTTTTCTAATGATATGCTACATCTGGTTCATGCAGTTGATGTTTCTGATCTTCAAACATTTCTTCATATTTTCCAACCAATTTGAGTTGTTGGGAGTTGGGCAGCATACAGATTTGATAAATAAATAAATGTCCACATGACCAAGAAAAGAAAAAAAAAGAGAGACCCTGAAGAAAGACTGAAGGTCAAGACACACATAACATGTTAGAACAATTGTCTTACTATGTAAGTGCCTTTGCAGAATTTAATTTAAAAATGCTATTCTTTTGTATGACTGAATTAATTAAGGAAAATGTTTCTGTCAAGTTCCAGCTAGAAGGTAGCTATGACAATTACTTGGTAGCCTGTGATATCTGATTTCAAAAAAGGGTTATGTATGTGTGATTTTTCCTTGCACATTATCTTCAAGTCCTTCAGTATTCAGAATCAGAATTCAGAATCAACTCTGAATTCATCTAGTAGTGGGGCCATCCATCCCATATTGTTCCATTTTATCAAAAATGGCTATGGTCCAGTTTATCAAATGCTTTACTACAGTCTAGGTATGCTACATCCACAACATTCTCTTGGTCTACTAATCCAGTCACTTCGTCAAAAAATGTAATAAAATTTGTTTGATACAACCTATTTTTAACAAACTATACTGGCTTCTAGTAATCACTCTGTTTCTTTCTAAGATCTTGAAACCCACTACTTGATTATCTTTTCTAAGATTTTCCCAGATATTAAGGTCAAGCTTATTGGACTGTGTTCTGAGCCACTTTTTTTCACTTTTTATAAGACTGGAACAACATTATCTCTTCTCCAATCTTCTGGAACTTTCCCTGTACTCCAAGAGTTCTCAAACATTACAGTCAGTGGTTCTGAAATCACATCCACCAGTTTCTTTAGCACCCTAGGATATAATCCATCCAGTCGCAGAGACCTGAATTTATTCAAAGCAGCTAGGTATTATCTCACAAATTCCTTCCCTATTTTGACTTGCATTTCTCTTCTGCCCCCATGGTGCAGCTCCTGGCAAGCTGAACCACTTTTCTTTTTGCAAAAAGACAGATGCAAAAGAGGAATTAAGCAGTTCGGCCTTCTCCATTGTCCATCACCATCTTCTCCAAGCAGGAGACTGACTATTTCCTTCACTTTCCTCCTTTTCTGCGCATACCCAAAGGACCCCTTTCTTTAAAAAAATGTGCTCACTGCAAGACTCAACTCATTCTGAGCCTTAGCCTTTTTAAAAGTTGTAAAATAGGCTGTAAGGATTTGGGGTATTTCCTCATCTTCTGCTTTTCTTATAAGCCCCTCTTTCCATATTTTAAATATCTTCTTTTTGTTTCTCCGTTTCTCAGAAAGCTCTTTATGCCACCATACTGGTGTCATTAGCTGTTTCCCATTTTTCTTTCTTTTTGGTATTGTTTGTGTCTGGGCCTTAATTATCTCATTTTTCAGAATTTCCTAACCTTCTTGAATTGTTTTTCCCTTCAGGACTTCCATCCATGGAATCCTTCCAACTTTTTTCCTTTAGAAAAACTTCCTGACATACTATGGTCTAATGAACTTTGCTGCCATTTTAATGGCATCAAAATTTTGTTCTCTGAGGGGCCACCTCATCTTGCTTCATGATAGTTGCCTCTGTTCTGTGAAAGCTTGCTACTATACTAACACTCACCACTGGATCTGTTGGATGAAAAATGTTTAGCAACCGGTTACAAATTGTTCTGGGTAGAATGTGATCTTGACTTCCACTGTTTCCTGGACGGATGCCACGCAAGGCCAAAAACACTGCTAATGGAGATCCCATACAGAAGAAATTTTCCACCTATGGAGACATTTCATTTGATATTAACAGGCAGAGTAATAGGCAGCTGGTCTAGCACATAGTGGGAAACTTTGAGGTAAGGAAGAAGAGCTGTGATCTCATTGCCTTGAGGCACATTACAAATTGAGGAAAACCACCTTTTAATAATGAATCAATCACCTTTTTGCATCATATGACAACCAAAGGAAGCTACGTTACAAAAATACCATAGCGTGGTTGCCTGAGGACATTTCAACTAAAAGAGATGTTGCATAAAAGGTTGGGGGAACTTGGGTGCTTAAAAACAACTCTTCAGTGTGCTTCCATAGCAGAACAGAAATCTGCTTAGCTATGACCATATGGGAAATTAAGAAGCTTGTGACCCCTACTTGAACTGCAACTTAAGAAAATACACTATGTAGCTGTTTTTCCCCCTAACAAAAAACATCAAGGAAGATGTAATGGTACATGGGAATGACCATGGGGGAGAGGGGGAAGAGCCACAGCCAGGGGAACGGTTGGATAAGAGGCGGCTTAGCCTGCAGCAGGAATGAAGTTCCTACAACTTAACACCTCAAAGTTCAAAATTTTATATCAAATGTCCTTCCCCCGGGAATTTCTTCTCCTTTCTGAGAAGGAATCCTCCAGAAGTATGATACCAAATGTAATTGTTGCACATTAACTTCTGATAAAATCAAAATGTCTCAGAAGAGACCCTCCTTAGTTTCTTGGGCTGTAAAGGTGAGAGGGGAGAAATGTACAGACTTGCAAGATTCTGTTGATGTAATCTTACAATAAAGTAGAATTAGTTCATCTGGGTGTGCTTCCTGTCTAGACTATCTTGCAAGGCTGCTAGAAGATGAACAACAAATGTGTCTTGAACATTTTATTATCCAAGATCTTAGGGAATAAGCCCCAAAAATATTACATGCCAGGATACAATGATTAAAGATCTTTTAAAAAGGGATTTTATTTCCTACAACTTAACACCTCAGAGTTTAAAATTTTATATCAAATGTCCTTCCCCCGGGAATTTCTTCTCCTTTCTGAGAAGGAATCCTCCAGAAGTATGATACCAAATGTAATTGTTGCACATTAACTTCTGATAAAATCAAGCTATAGCCATTAAACTCTGTTCAATATCAGAGATGTGACTTGTTCAAAACAATCTGATCACAATTTGCAGATACACTGATTAGTTGATGGTAATAGATGCCAGCTTCCTATTAAGCTCATATTCCTTTTTATAAACTGGATTTTTAAAAAATTATTTTAAAAAAAAACATATGAACTGCCAGCTGGACTAAGGTGCAAGGGAGAACATAATTGGAAAAAAAAAAAGGTAAATTCATGCTATATTTTAATGCTGCAGAGAGGGAAAAGGCTGTAGGCAAAAGCACTACCCAAATTTGTACAGCTTCTCTACTACTGGGTGTATACATATTGAAAACAATACATGAAGTGCAGCCAAGACCAGCTAAATGAAGCTTGATAGCCTGACTCAGGTCAACGGGTGCCACACCCTTCACTTCTTGATTGCTTCCTTCTATCCTCTGTTATATAATAAGGACAATGGTACTTTTTTTCTGTTTGAAAATAATCTATTTCCTAAGAAGATTTGAATTAAGACATTTTATATATGGAAAAAAATATTTGTAGATTTATCTAATTAAGTTGTAAGTGGAATTTGCCCTCCCCCACAAAAAAAAGAGTTGAACAGTTTGCTAAAAGTGACTTATCAGAAAGAAAAACATTTCTTATCCATTCATACCTTGAATTTTAAAGCAGGTGTTTTGGCTATAGTTGATGTCTTTAGTCCATGCAATCTATCTTCTATCTCCCTCAACCTAGGAAAAAATTAACACTTGCATGAACGCTTTTAATCAGAACACCCAATCAGTTCTATTTAAAAGCTCTGTTATGTTCCATATGTTTATATGGTGCTTGTTTTTAAAACAAGTGTTCTCAAGACAGATTTTGTATATTAAGACTAAAATACTTAGGAGAATGAATATGACATATATACAATACAAGTATCTGTTGGGAGTTTTTTCTTCCACAGCTCAAAAATTTATATGTTTCATCCTGGAGGGCAAAAGTGGAAGAGGAGATATTTTATTTGGGAAAACAGTGGAGAGAAAAATCATTCTTCTCCCCATGGTCCATCTGGTCCATCCCCTAATGAAGGACTGAATGATCATTAAAAAATGTCCCAGACCTTCGTAAAATGCCTTTATGTAGACTGAAGCCCCAGTAAGTGCTGCATGTATTGTTACATTACTTCTGCCAATACAATCTAAAAATAAACAACCATGGATAGAAGTGACCTTCAATATTTATTTTACCAAGGCACAGCTGAATTAAAAGCTGCATATGTACCAAACCTATCTTGTTTTCTCAAAATGGCTCTGGAACTACTCACACATTTTCTTCACATCAGTTATCTCTTCAGTAATTCAAAGAAATTTTCTTACTGTTTCTTGGTTAAGTAAAATTCTTCTAGCAAATGCTGCTCTTCATAGCTCATCCAGGTGTTCTCAAGGTCATCATATTCCTTCTCAAGTAACTGCTCATAGAGCCTGACTGGATTCCATCCTGTCATGATATCATATGTAATCACACAACCTAAGGAATGTGATACAATAGACACCTTTCCACCTTTTTCTGTGAACTCTGGATTCCGGGAACAGAAAAGTGTGTACAAACGATTCATCTCCTGCTGAAGGCCTTTTACCAGCTGTTTTAAAAATGTCAAGGAAGGGAACAGAGAGAGAGAGAGAGAGAGAGACAGGGAGAGAGAGAACACATTTTAAAAGATATTCTGCATATTGTTAGCTTCTGCATTCCTGCTTAAACTTAAGTGCAAATTTTATGGCCAAATCAGGACGGACAGAAAAACTTATGAAAAGCAACTAGTTTTGGCCTTCACATTCAGTGGAATAACTCAACTTCCAAATTTTGCCATTTAAGTAAATAAAGAGCAAAGTGTTTTAAATAAATTAAAACAGAAAGATTCTTACTTAAATTATCATGCTTGCAGCTTAATCCTTTAAAATGTCAAATATTTAACAATATATATTAATCATAAGCAACCTGTCTCCAGATGGAAGATCCAGAGGCTATCTGATCAACAAATTAGGGCAGATTGAGAGAAAGTAATTTGCAGCAAGAAAATTCAACTAAACTGTGTGGAACATCTGGTTGGAGGCAGCAAGTATCACCAAGCTCTTCTACTCTGATGTAATCAGATCAAGCAGCACAAATATGGAAAGGGATATCTCAGGCAGCAAGCCCCTTTGGTATAGCAGCTAAAGTGTTAGGCTAGAAACTGGGATACCATTTTAGTCCTCTTTTTAGGAATGAAAGCTGGCTAGATGACTGGGCCAGTCACTCCCTCTTACCCCAACACACCACACAGGATTGTTCTGGGAAAGATAGGAGGTAGGAATATCGAATTGACCAAAAATAAAGATAGGGTAAACATTTAATAAATAAGCCCCATCTCAAAAGATCAGAACAATCAGCTATTTGTCAGACATATTTATTATCTATTTCTGGTGAGCATACAGTCCATTTCAAAAGGCAACAATTAATTGATGCATGAGTTCAAGCTTGGGAGCAGGGGCTGAAATATGATTTATGATATGAGAAAAAAACAAATGGCCTGGCTATGAAAAAGAGAAAATTGCAAAATGAGAAAAAGAAATGACTTTTTGTGATATACTTAATTTGATAGCAGTAGATATTGAAATATTATAACTGTTACTATATTTGTAGACTTTTTTTCTGATGAAGTTACACAAAAAGGTTCTGCCTAGATAATTAGTAAAATACACTATCACATCCAAACCACCTACAAGATTTATTTAGCACACTTATATATTAGATTTCAAATTCTGGAAAATCTGTTACTATATTTTGATGCAAATGAACTCATACAGGACATTTACATACTTAGCTTGCATTTAAGTCTTTGTATTTTATGACTTAAATTATGAGTGAAGTTTGTTTCCATTCTTCCTCTCTGTAGATTTGATTCTTATCCAATGACTTTTGGACATGGTGTATTAGAAGAATCTGATAGTTTAGAGGTCTGCTTTAGAGCCTGTCCTTGCTGTGGAAATCTTAATAAAAATATTAGACCGACCCTTTCTAACTAAGTGAAATTCAGTTTTGGGGCAGACCCTGCTAACTTTTTGCTTTCAGAATTTATCATGCCATTTAAAGAGCAGAACTTTGGCTCCCAAAAGTTGTGCACCTCTTGGCTATATATTTAGTCTATTTCTCATATTGTATATGTCAGTGAAAGAATACCCTGAGTGCTAGAGTCTATCTTTTGTATGTTCATGAAAAATAGTTTCCTCTAATTTTTTTTTTATTTTAAAATGTCTGCTGACATTGTAATATCTGACTGAACTTCCTTTATGTAGCTTAAAAAGCACATTTCTCTCTGACTCCTACAATCAAATTCCTCATCCCGGTTGCTGGATGCTCTTCTTAAACCATTGAACGTTTTTGAATTCTTTAAGAAAACTCTCTGGCTACGGTAATCACTACCCTCTCATCCAATACATACTTAATTCAATTTGGAGGTGGAGGGAATAGGGTATCCTGATGCAAAAATATTGAAGGGGAATTTATCTTCTCACCAGAGTGTTTGTAGCAATTGGAAGGGGAAAATGATGCAGCAACTGCCTCAAAGAAACATCTCCTACTTCTACATTGCAGCTCTTTGTTGCAGCTTACAACTGATTCTTTGTAGGGTAAACCCTGTGATCTCATAATTTGCATACTGCTCCTTGATCCACTTCTGTAAATCCATGCCTACTAGATTAAGTAGCAATTCAATGTACTCAAGTAGCAGAAGAACTGCTGTGCTTATACTGAAAGTATTAGAAAATTATCAGTGAGAATTCTATTAGAAAAAATACAGAATTATTTTTCAAAGCCCAGTAAGCTGTGTGATGTAGAGGATAGTTAAAGTTGGGTTTAATTCCATATTCGGTCATCAGAGCATACAAAAAGTCCTGCTGAATCTGGCTACAAAAGCCCATCACATTCAGCTTTTTGTTCAAACAGTAGCCAGGCAAGTGCCTTTGGGTAACCCTAAAGTACAGTGTGAAGGCAAGAAACCTTTCCTGCTATTGTTTCTTGGTGAAACAACATTTCATGCCACTTCTAATAATGGAATAATGTATATTAATCATGACTAATAGCTACTAGATAGATTTATTTTCTATGGATGTATCTAAATCCCTTCCAGGTCAAACTGGTTGTCATTACTGCATCTGTGATAATTTCATAATTTAATGACATGCTGAGTGTTCAGAACTACATCTAACTGCAACAACACAACAGCCTAAGGCAAACAGCTTTTGGCCTCATCTAACTCACAGGGTTGTAAATGAAATATGTTGACTTAGAGAAGGACAGGTTATATATTTGATAATCTGTGCAGCCATCACATTATAAGAATGGACTTTAAAAGTTTACCTTTAATAAGAAGTTGATATATCACAACAATTAATGGCACATTCCCCCAGTGTTAATAGAAGAAAGGGGAAGTTTATTTTAATGGATCCACCCCACAAGCTACATGTGCTCTGAATCAAGCCTGTATTGGCTTGATTGCCGTCATTGCACACAGAGTTAGATTGTAACTATGGAAGGGACACTCAAAGAAGAGGATGAGATAGTTAACTATTATTAAATCCCACTATCACAGTATAATTTACTATACTTCTCTCTTGCCTCTTGGTTGGTAAATGAGGGACTATGAGCTGAAACAGTATTTGTTAGGACAGGGTTTAGCAAATTATGGGCACCAAAATATTTCCAACATCCCAACTAATGCCATAATTTTATTTCTTGGCACACAGTGCCTGAAAAGTTACTGACCCTACCCTATTACACAGGGTGTGATTTGACTGTAGGGCTTTCAACTGCAGATCCCTAGCATGCAGGAACATCCGGGCTCAAATAAATAAGTGATGAGTGCAAAGGTGCCCTATGCAATTGCTTCCTTTCTAGACAGCCTCTATTCTGTTTCTTGTTTGGCACTAAAGAACTGAATGTCCAAAACAAGAATAATCCCCTTTTAGGGTCCTTCTATTAACCTGAAGCCTTATCATGAGGTTAAGAATCAAACCAGAGAAACTATGAGGTCAGTTCTAAGCCTTCACCCTTCCTTCCTGATTAGAGAATTCCCTGAGAATTGTTCAACCCAAGACATCATTTGTGTATTTATTCCCCGGAGGATTGCAACATCATGTGTTCAGTTGTCTTTAATACATTTTAAATGATATAATCATGCCAATCTGATCAAAAGATAATCTGTCCTACCTGATATTTTATTTGAATTTCTCTAAGTACTGCTCTTACCACCTAATACTCAGTTGCCATTTAGTTTACCCATGCTCAAAACAAAATTTAAAAAATATGGGATATAGAACATGTGTGCTTTTACTACTGAGGTAATAAGCAGGTTGCATCTGGCTATTAAATACAAACAGAAGACAAGCAGATCTTTATTTTATTCCTGTACAGTGGAACCACAGTGGCCAGACATCTCTTCGAGATGATGGAGAAACCGAAGTATGTTTAATTGACAAAATCCAGTTTTTGCTGACCCATTATTTGTCAACACTTTTAATAAAACACTAACAACACACATACCTCATCTCTATAGAGGGGACTTGTGTAATACATTATGTCCATTGCACTGCTGTTAAGCATATCCCTTAGTCCACGAACTTTATCTGGGGTAATAGAATCAACAGTGTCTAAAATGAAAAAAAAAGGAGAGCCAGCTATTTGATCAAGGTGTGATAAAACCTTAAATGGTTCAAAATCAACAATTCAGAACATCTAAATCCATAACTAAGGAAATTGCTCAAGTGCTGTGATAATTTGCTTGTCTATCACTACCAATGTTTTCCTTCAATATCAGCTTAAGGAGTTGAAGGATGTTTGGAATTAAGTTTAGAGCCAACAGACCTAAGAACAACCCTAAATGAAAATGAACAGATAGTATCACAAAAAACATTTACAATATGCATGGGTTTCTTGCTAGATAACCAAACGACTGAAATTCAGTGCTAGAGAAAATATAAAGAATGCTACTTTCCAAGTATCACCAACATCATCAAGTTAAAAAAAAAGAAAGAAAGAAATACCTCCGTCAAGTGTAAGTTTAGATCTCCATTCTACTGGCAAGAACTCAACATGAGTTGCAAGGTTGCTAAAATATTTGTCTTCAATTTTTCTTGCAGTGTCCCGCATCCTAGAAAATTTAATAAAGAGAAAATGTTAGACTGAAAAATAAGCAACCCTATTCAAGAGTACTTCTCATGAATAACAATAATCTGCAAAGTAGACATTTATAGGAAATTATCTTGCCCAATGCTATCCAATATAGGATATCCTTGGAACCTGGTTAAGAACCACCTACTCCTATTGTTTCTGCTTGATCAGTAAGTTCTAGTAAAGTCGACATGCTTCAGGTCCCAGCTGAAAGCACTGTCATCTTGCAGGACCTTGGGGATGCACCTTCTTTATAGCTGCATCTGTCCTTTGGAATAGCATTCTTCCTGAGATCTGTATGGCCCCAACCCTTTGTGCTTTCACAAAGCTGTAAAAATCTGGCTTTGTCAGCAGGTCCTGGGATAAGGTGAGATGATTTGTTCTAGGATAGTGCATTTTGGTCTTCAATTATGATTTAGTTTCATTCCCTGGTACCTTGCGTTTACTATTGTTTGGTTTTTCTTATTATTTTTATTCTGCTATTTTTAACCCTAATATATAGGGCACTTTGCTTAGGTGATTAAAGTGACATATAGATTGATAAAATAAATACTGTAATAATAATTACATAAATGTCCAGAAAGTTTGGATGACATCTCTAAAGGTCGGATGAAACACTGATAATACAATCCTTGCAGAGGATGAAAACAAGCAGAACTAGTAACAGTGAGTAGATGTGTGTGTGTGTGTGTGTGTGTGTGTGTAAATAAATTCCTCTCTCCCACAAACACCTGGGTTATTGAGATTGCTTAATTTGGATGTGACATGTTTCCAGAAGTTAATGGAGCATTTTGTGGCAGTAGCACCCAGCAGTGCTTTTTATGTCCATAAGAGAAAATGTGGGGGAGGGGGCAAAGTGGTAGATTAAAGACAATCCAAAGTCTTTGGAAAAGCACTGCTCTTGCATCTTCTTTTACCCATTTTTTTCCCAACTGAAAAAACTAGATGGAAGAAATGAAGGATACTTCAGGAAAGAAAGGCCTTCTAAGATTCTTTCTCTTTCTTAGTACATGTTAGGTTATTGGAATTCCAATTCCTGGTAGACACAAAGAGAAAGCTTGCCCATCTTTGCTTTTCCTTGGCGGCTCTGTTTCTGTGTCTAGCAGGTAGATAGAGCCGCAGACACTTAGTGTAGTGCACTACCTGTAGCCCCAGGTCCATATGTGACTGCCAATCTGGGTAAGCCTACCAACTATTGTCTCTATTGATGCCCTATTTGCTTTAACTCATTTTTGGTTCTGGTTCTGTTATCTCATGTGGCCCCCAACAGATTATTCCTCAGGAAATGAGGCCTTCAGAAAAAAAAATGGTTACTTTTTCTGGACTTAGTAAATTAAGAGTCAGAGAAATCTAACATGCCTCCATTGATCTAGGGCTGGTTGACATGTTTTCTTTGGTCCTTGAAACTCTTGAGACTGGGGCATGTTTTAATAGCCAAAATTTTGCTTAGCCATACAGACCATTCAACACCGATTGAATCCTGAATGAAATCTTACGCTACCTCTCATCAAAGTCTGATTTATAAAAATCTGACTTAATCTCACTTTTGAGAAGCAAAGGTTTCTGTAGTATTCAAAGGTCTAGATCAGAGCTAGACTCTGGTCAACTTTTCTGAATACCATTTGTAACATGTATCATGTTCATCTGGTAGCTGACAAATAATAAAAAATTCAGTAAAAGCATTTAACATAAACTGTAAACAATGGAATTTAAAATCAGTACAAAAACAGAGATTTTGTAGCCTAATTAAATAGCATATAGAATTCCTTACCCAGCTCTTAAGTACACCTGAGAAAAATTAACATATTTATATTTTTTGTAGCATTCTTTCCATCTATCCCAAGTACATTAAAATTACAAGTTGCAAAAAACAAATGAAGCGCTTACATGGCCGTATTTTTTATAATCCTTCCTTGATCCATTTTCTGTCCAATGCCATGCACAACGAATACAATGTGAGTTGTTGGAGAAGGCTTGTCTTCTACTGTAGCTTCTTCAACGTAGCCTCTATGAAGTCTGGTCCCACTACTTGAAGCTGCAGAATGCAACCGACATCACTTAATTCTGTCTGTAAAAGCCAGTTACTTTGCCCAAAACCATCTTCCAAGTAACCAAACAGAGATGTTTCTTTAATTTTTTTTTCCTCATTCACTTTAAATGTGAAATACATTACAATGCATACATACATACATATGTATGCATACAATGCATACAATGCATACAATGCATACATACATACACAAGATGCATATGTGTATTACAGGAACAAGGGCTGATAATTTGAGTGGAGTAGATTTAATAGCAAGAGTAATTTTAATCCTGCAATGTCATTACTTCAATAGTAAACATTCGTATATAATGAAATGCCAACAAGGTTTAGTGTTTAGTGTTCTATTAAGACTGGGGAAATCCAGGTTCAAGTTAAATCATAATGTTCACTAGGTGACTTTAAGCCAGTTGTTTTAGCACAGCTTACCCTATTTAAGAGTTTTTGTGAAAATAAAATGAACGGGAAACCCATGTAGCCTTTGGGTTACAAAAAAAAGATGAAATATAGCTGCTAGGAATAAATAATATTACAAATCAAAATATGTTTCTTTGTCTTAGATTTGGGGTAGCCAAAATATCTCGGGGAGGCCAGCTATGTTACAGTTGAAAAACATCCCTTTATCACAAACATTTAGTAGGTTTAGCAGAAACAAAAAGACTACTGTACCATTTTAGGTTAGAGAGGTAATATTATAGTTACCTTTCTGAGTAGTATGCATTCATTATTAAGTACAATTCAGAAAAATAACCATTCAGTTTTCACATTCTTCACAGAAACATACAAACTACTTGAGGAATTTATATATTCAGCAAGGACATTTTGACAATACACACAAACCTCTAATTAGTTTTACCTTTAGAAAAACCTAGCTTCTGAGAGACTGTCCTTGCGATTTTCGAAGTTGTTGCATCACTATACAGATATACCTCATCGACACTGTGCCAGTCCACATGGTTGCGACTCAGCTTCAAACTATGAACAGCTGTAGCAAAAAATGATGGCCTTTAATTAAAAAAGCAAGAGCTGTACTCTTCCAGAACTAGGCAGAGCAAAAATAGGGAGAAGGAAACACAACAAGGATAGGCTTGTATATATTCTACATCTTGGCATGTTACCCAAATATCAAATTGTGAATAATGAAAACAGTTTGAAAATATTTTAAGGGACATGTATTTGTAGCCAGTAAAGTTCTAAAAAGACAAGGTCCAGAAAGGTTGATCCATCTTTGCTAAAAGTTTCAGAAACCTGTGGGCAAAACTTCTGGTGATCATGGATTTTAGTCTCTCTCCCTACAGGCTCTGTATTCTATTTTCATTATGTAATACCATGTTTATGTATCGCACTTTAACTATGCTTAAAATAATTTTTGATTTTGATTTTAATAATCTGTTGTGAGTTAACACTGTGCACTTCCAGCTATGCAATTTTCATCTGGATAGTTAAATGAAGAGTGTGTAGCATATACATTTCCTGGATATAACTGAAGATGAGATTATTCAGTTTACATAAAAATATTTGCCACTTACTTCTGGGTAGCATGCACTCGCTATTTAGAATAGGAGAACGTTTGGTCAGATACTTCTTCCTCTGCTGTTCCCTAAATAAACATTAGCTGCCTACAGTTCTAAAAGTCTAGTGCCATCATCTAGGAGTCTGAAATATTTTTGTACTACTAAAAGATTCCCATGACAGAACAGAGACGAACAAGATGACACATCTTTTGAGGTGACAAGAGAATCACATGAATGGTTTCTGGAGCAAAAGAAGACATTGCTTTTTTAGATAATACTTTATGATGTGGTAAACTAGATGTTACATAAAAAAGCAGACTAAACCCCACCTGTTTCGTTTTTATTCTTTCTAAGGAGGAGAAGATTTGGGAAGAGAATGTAAGAAATAGCATAGCAGTGTGCAACTTTCCCTGTTAATAGTTTCTCCAATCTCTATTGGAGTCTTTTTTTAAAATGCACTTTTTCCAAAAGTACATTTAGCCTACATAGTAAAAATCTTTGACCTTTACTTCTTAAAGATTAAATATCATGAGTTAAACATTCTAATTTCATTATGATCAACCAAGGGTTTCCTCAGAGATGTAGAATTACCTTACAGATCATTAACTCGTCAACTCTTACCTTGAGTTGTACAAAATAAAGGCAGGATATACATACATACATACATAATACATACATACATACATACATTAATGCTGCTGATAAACAGTGAGATGATTAAGTCCACACTTTGAAGCAGATTTTCAGAAATTATTTCTGAGGCCAAATAAGTGCCTTTAGCACAGCTCTGATTTTTTTAATGATTAAAATAGGTACAAAGAATCAGAAAGCTGCCAAGCAATTGATGCAATTTGCAAGAATGTCCATTTTTAGAACAAGCCCAAACAGTGATGACTATTCCAAATATTATTTTATTGAATCTGTGGTAAGTATGAAGACAGAAACAACATATAGTTGTTTAAACAGCAATTATTTTCTTGGGAGTCCATGAGGAAAGATAGGAAAAATAATTTTTCCTACTTATTCTATTATTTTCTTCATGCTTTGAGAATTTTCTTCATTTCTGAGAATGAGAGCACTGTTTTTATTCATGACAACTGTGACAAAAATGCAAGTGAGCAAAGAAGAGCAATGAACTTATTTCTGTGATATCTAAGGGCAAAACATCTGACCCAATATCCATTTCTTTTTCTCCTCACTTTTTAAATCTCTCACATTAATCTAGTTCAATATTTTATAAATTGTTAGGTTTGTTAGATTTAATCAAAGCAATTTGATTAAAGCTATCCAATGGGCTTTTACAGCTGAATAGGCATTTAAATATGATCCATATCAATCTTTGATTAAACAACTATTAAACAAACCATTAACTAGATAGGATTTATAAAAACTCTTGCCGTACTGTTGAAAGTGGAGGGCATTCCATGGACACAGACTAATTTTTATGTTAAATAAATAATGTACAAAATGTTTTAGAATTTTAATGAATTGTTAATATACTTTGTTAGAGCACTGCCAGCCTCTAATTTTCTCTGTAAGAAACAAAGCACTGATGGCGTCACTAAGATTCAGAAAGCCTCTTTTTTTTTTTTTTTGCTTTGGAATCAGGAAATATCAAAATTGTGCAGAGGGGAAAGCATTTGGTTATCTAAATGCACTACGGTGCTAGCTACAGTGTAAAGCTTCCTATACAAGGAGAAGATAAGAATACAAATCTGTGATTACTGTACCTTCAGACCACTTGCGCTTAACCCCTGCCGCCTCTGCATTCTCGTTATATCCTCTCCATTTGAACAGAGAATGGAGGGAGAAGGGAGGGAGGTAGTTGATAACTAAAAGCAAAAACACCGAGCTTCAAAGTGAACTTTTGAGAAGGTTCATCGGATTTTATAGGGCACTATCGTAAAAACTAATGAACACAGAAAACAGAATAAAAATACTACAGATAAATGCTGGCAAAACAGAGAAACACTGGGAAACTGGTTAAACAAACAAACTTGAAATGCTTATTGATACAAGTAAGATTCAGTTTAAAGAGCAGGTATGCAATATAAAAATAAATGCACTCATCCAGCACCTGTGAAATCACAGATATATTGGTTAGCAATTTTACTGGGACACCTATAAAGCACAACTCTGTAACATAGGCTCAGGATATTAGGTAGCCTAAAGAGATCGCTAAGGAAACAAAGCAAAAGGCCACTGGTGGCTTTCCAACTCTTGAAAGAAAGACAGGAAATTCCCAACATGCATTATCTATAGCAAGACTTCCATTCCTGAACAGCACTGGAGTTTCCCTGTGGTGGTAAATGCACATCCACTGTGAAGCTTTCAATACTCATTTATAGCTTCCAAGCTATTCAACGAGGATATTGAAAAAAGTGAAACCCCTGAAGATTAGTGTGCTGTAGTTTGATGGACTTACCTTACCCTCACAGGTAGATGCCAGTGCTGTTCAGTGTAGGAAGGGACATCACAAGGTGAATGAATGCTGAGGTATCTCACAAGTGGCAAGTTAGGAATCAAGAGGAAGCTGCTGTGCCCCACCTAAGAAACAGGAGAACAATAAGCACCACCAAGGTCAGCTGGCATTCAAACAGGGAGTCAAGCTCACTTGAAAGACAAAATGTGACAATTTCAAAAACTGAGCATTAGTTTGGAAGTCTCTGTTTGAACCCAAAACAAAAACAAAATCTTAAAAGAAATAAGTAACTGAGAACTAGATGTGGTGGTACATTTACTGGACCCAACTGATCTAAGAAAGAACACATAAATCAAGATTTGGGATGATTTTGATGTATTCTAATTTTGTCCAAACCTCTGAATGGTCAGAGAAGATGGTAGCTGCAACCAATTAGCAGCATCAGAGGAAAGCTTTCTGTACACAAGTGACTCCCTCCTATCAGAGTGTTCAGTAGTCACTACTCTGATTTTCATAATTTCCAAATGGAAATTATACATTATAATGAAAACTGTAACCACCAATGCAGATCCAATGCACTCCCTCAGAGAGAGATGCTTATTATGTGGCTGAGTCATTTACTGTCCTATCTCATCTCCTTCCAGTCAACAATGACTACTGGTGATAAGTTATTGTGTGCATTTTTCCAGTTGCTGTGGTTGGCATGATACAGAGAATTCTGTGCAGCAGATTATCTTTCAAACAGAGGAGGCTGCATATAAAAGTCCTTGAAGAAGTTTCTGCTCTAGGCCAACAAGAAAAATTAATGCAGAAACAAAGGGGTAGAATTCTCTGTGGGCAGGTTACTCTTATGATCTCTAAATGTAATTGGGGGGGGAGGGTAAGTAATAGTACTTTTAATTTTAAATGAAAATATTCTTCAGTGTGGAACAACATGTTTATGAGATAACAGCTTTCTGCTCAGTTGTAGGCAGAAGAGGTTCAACAAATGAGAGTAAGGAAAATGCCTGCCTTAAGAATAATTTATTTTCTTAGAGAACATCATGGGAAATACTTCATGAGTCAAGAGCCCAGACCTCATATATCCAGAGTGGAAAAAGCTACTCTAGGGCATCCTTAAGGTATAGTCCCCAAATGGCTGACAATACCACATTGGGGAAGTTTGCCCAAGACCCGAGTTGAATAATCTTTTCAGGCTATGGATTCTTCTGGCCACATAGTCTCATAAGATTGCTGAATCTTGTGAGATTAGAGTGATCTCACATGAAAATACATGAATCTCAGAAATTCTAAGATAAGATGTTATTCTTAACTCTGAATTTTGGTTTCCTAGCTACTTAACTGTTAAGATCACAGAAATTGACTAAGAAGCAACTTCCCATCTTTAGCAATCATGCTGCAAAATCTCTGGTTGTTTACCAATTTCCCATTGTCCAAGTTTTGAAAAGATAGCCAAGAAATTAGTGAGACAGTTGGAAACAGGAGGGTGAATTGTGCCAAAGTGAACAATCTAATGGGTTGTATGAAAGACTAATTTTCTATCTCATTACGGAATCTGGGAGCAAACACAGAGGAACCATGTTTTTATTTGAAACACGTTTTCTCTGTTTGCTCCCAGATTCTAGCCAGCAATATTCCTGCATTTTTCATCTAATATGCTTATCTTCCTAATGTTACGAGAACTTTGTGCACCAGGGTTTGCCAGGGATAAAGCAGGGTGTTTATATGTGTGTGTTTTCCTTTTTTCCCATAGATTTAGAAACTCCCTTTGGATTGCATCAGTTAGTTTTTGGTTCCTGTCTGTCTGTCATCCTTGCCATATTTTATTATTCATTTTTGTCTATTATTGTATGTTTTCTTGTTATTTGTGAACTGCTTAGAGTCATTGGGAGTCGGGCGGCACATAAATTTAAATAAAATAAAATATTTATTTATTTATACATCACATTTATATAGCTGCCCATCTCACAAAGCGACTCTGGGAAGTGTACAACAATTAAAAAATAACAAGTGAATAAAAATAGGCAACATAAAAAAATAAAGTTATTATTAGAATAAAAACATTATCACAATTTTTTTAAAAAATTAAAATATACAAAGCCCACAGAGAGAGCAGAATATCAATTACAGTAGAACCAGCTAAGAATGTCTCCAGTTCCCAAAGACCCCCAGGCCTGACACAACCAGGTCTTGAGGGACTTCCTAAATGACAGCAGGGAAGGGGCGAGCCTCACTACAGGGGGGAGAATGTTCCACAAGGAGGGAGCCACAGCAAAGAAGGCCCACCTCCTGGGGCCCACCAAATGCAAGTCCCTGGCCGTTGGTACGTGTAGCATATCTTCCCTGCCGGATCTAACTGGATGGGCTGATGTAATCGGAGAGAGGCGGTCCCTCAGATAACCCAGCCCCATGCCATGAAGGGCTTTAAAGGTCAAAACCAGCACCTTGAATTAGACCCGGAAGCAAACCAGCAGCCAATGCAACTTGCGAAGCAGAGGTGTAACATGTGCTCTTCTAGGAGTACACATAATTGCCCGCACTGCCACATTCTGCACCAGTTGAAACTTCCAGATATTCTTCAAGGGCAGCCCCATGTACAGCACATTACAGGAGTCCAATCTGGAGGTGACTAGGGCATGAGTGACTGTGAGCAGAGCCTCCCGATCCAAGAAAGGATGCAAGTGGCCCACAACATTGAGTTGTGCAAAGGCCCTCCTAGCTACGACTGCCACCTGCTCTTTGAGCAGGAGTTGTGAGTCTAGGACAACCCACAAATTGTGCACTCGGTCTGTCCGGGGCAATGCACCCCATCCAGCACCAAAGATGGTATGATCCCAGAACCGGCAGGACCCCGAACTCAAAGCCACTCAGTCTTGCCAGGGTTCAGTTGAAGCCTGTCATTCCCCATCCAGACCCTCAGAGCCCCCAGACATATAGTTGGGTATCATCAGCATAATAATGACACCTTACCCAATGGCGACAGATGAGCTTACCCAGTGGCCTCATGTAGATATTAAATAGGAGAGGGGAGAGATCGTAAGTAAGTAACTAAGTAAGTAACATGGGCTAGATTCACCCTGACCCTTCAAAATGAACAACACTGCAAATAACATTGCACTGCACTATTTCCTTCATACAAAACTGAAAATAAAAACTTAAGAGATTCTACCTTGGATACAAAATGTACAAATTATTGCCAATGTATTTGGAGAATTTCCTTTAAAAATGCTGACAGAAAAGCCTGTATGTAAAGCTTTCAGTCACTTCTGATACTTTCTTCAAAAGTGTTGATTTAGATCTTTACTTACAGATCATGTATTAATTTATAAGATTTATCTCCACATCAATCCTTAAATGAATTCTAGATGTATAGCCAGCACAGATAAGAAAATTTTGACAACTGGGACAAAATCAATAAACTACAATAAACTTATGAATACTTCCATCAGATGTCTTCACAATAACACAAGTTTTGGTTGGTCTCTTGGACTAAGATATTAAATATGTTGCAAGTTATTCTTAATAACTTTTAACCAAAATAACAACTTGCAATATTCTTTTCTTGTCTTAGATTTTACAAGCCCATCACTGAATTATGAGGCCATAATTAAGCCCCACAGCTCACACATAAGTTTTAAGTTTGGCATTAATGTATTGTTCCCATCCTATTTCAGGAAGACCATTTAGTATCAGTGTACATCTTTAGAGACAGCAAATGCTAAAACAAACAGGATAAAGATTAACTGTCCATCTTCTATAAATGTATTTCTACTTTTTCAAAGTCATATAATCTAATGGCCTTTACTACTGTATGGTACTGTATACTGATTCAAGCAGTTTATTTTTAATAATTTTATATTTACTACAGTCTGTATTGTTGGGTGATCCCAGGCTTTACCACTTTGAAAGAAAAAGCTATCTCTGTTCACACTTTCCTGAATCTGTTCCAAATCACCTATGCCCAAATGTTAGCATTACAAGATAAAAACATAAAGCCCTCTTCTCTACCCATAGTATGCGTAATTTAATTCACTCTTCTCACAACCCTCCCTATTCATGTTTTTCTAAAGTTAAAAAAGCAAACTTTGCAATTTTCCTTGAACATTCTGTTATAATCTTCAGTATCTTTTCCAGCAAAACAATATTCCCTTTGTAATGCAATGACCAGAACTGCACACCATACTCAATCATAACATTAAATTATATAAAGGTGGTACATTAGTAATACTATATTTCAGGTACCTCTCGATATTGCACCCTCAGCTGTTGAGCCAGCACCATTTTATGTTAAGGGTTTTTTTTTTAGCTTTTATATTGTAATAGCAGATAAGAGTTCTGGCTTTTGCAGCACCCCCGTGTCATGTGAACAAAATTCGGGCCTACTTGGGCCCACCCACATTTACAACTGCC